ATGCGAGTCATTCTCCACATCTTTAAACCTTGCGTCTGCTCTGCTGTGCAGAATCCCCATCACCGCACCATTGCAGCCCAGCATCCTCGAAGCAGGGGAGAAGGTGGGACAGATGCCACGTGTGCATCCTCGGCAGAGGTAAAGCGGGCAGGGAGCAGCAAAGTGCCTCCACACATTAACACTTTCCACAGAGTTCTTGGCATTTTTTTGCTCCCCTTTTATCTTAGTGATTTCCCTGTATCTCTGCTGCGTTTTGTGGCTGAATTTTTCACGTCCGATCCTGCTCTACTTCTTGCCATTGCAGCAGGAGAGGCCGGGTTCTTAGTTCTGAAACTGCTGTATCATATAAAATATTCAGGCCTTTCAGGCGTATTGTACAATGTTTTATAATGAACCTTCCATGCCCTCCAATTGCAGCATGGTGACCTCCCGCCCCATCGGGCTCACTATAGTCCACTCTGCCTTACCTGCCTGCAGATGCCTCTACAATACAGCAGTGCCGTGGTGGACTAAGGCACATGCTTATGGGATGAGACCAGCTCCAGCTACCGTTGTGTTACTGAATCGCGCTCTGGCAGTGCCTGCGCAGGGACATCACACACGTTTTTAAGTCTGTCAATAGGCCATTTGGTCCCATTTACCAAGAGCACATTGTGTTTTCATCATGTGAGGGCTGTACAGTATGGAGTCCGGTCCCTCAGTGGGAGCAAGGGCCTTTGTTCCTGTCAACACTGGGATTTTACTTATGACGGGGAACCATGTTTAAACACAACGTTGCTTTTAACACTGTTTGGATAGATGGTGGAGACAAGGCCAAAGTGTATTATAAGACTACGGTTTAACCCATTATACCAGCCAGCTGAGTAGTGTTAGCAATCAGTTTACTCAGAAACAGATTTGAAGCAACTTCAGCAATACTTATGGCTTTCCCACCACTTCCTTTCTACTAAATAACAATTTTCTCTTTCTCTAGTGGTCTCTCTTGGAAGGCCTTCGGGGCCGCAACTGTCTCCCATAAGTACGTGAACGGGACAATGGGGCTTTAATTGGGGCCAATGCTTCTAGATGCCACCAGAATATGAACAGTTAATCATAACGACTCAAATATCCGTCTAACAGTGTTATGACATGGAGTTCAAGACAACACTTTCTGACGTGGAGTGAAATGATACTTTGGTCCTGCCTGGAGTCTTAATCATTGCTTGCAGCGTGATACCACCACAGCGGGCTCCGGCAGTGGTTCTCAGCCCTTTTTCATGCCAGAGACGCTCACTCAGGACCCTCCGTCCAGCAGGAGAGTGGCAGGATGTTTGCAGCCTGCTGAAGCCTGTTGGTCGAATGTCCCTGGAGGATCCCGCCTCACAGGCCAGGTCCCCCTTTCCCTCCTGCGTAACATTTGGGCATGATCTGCACTGGGGCTATCCCACGTTCAGCGGCTCTAGGGCGAGTCTTTTAATGCAGACAGCAAAGTTGCCAGAGCCAAGAGCTGTTTTCAAAAGCTGGCACCAGTACGGTTACACTGATGGCACGAATTGGGGCAAATCCCCAGTTCCAGGCAAAGCTTCGATGCCGTTTGCTCAGGTTCGGGGGCAGTATAAGGAGGTGTGAATTTCGGAAGATAAAAACAAAAAGCAGCAGCTGTTTGCAGCAGTAAACACCTTGGCAACTTGCTCCCAATTTTTTTCTTTCTTCCCCCCTCCCGCTCTCCCTTGCTCTCTCTCTTAAGGTAGCAGCATGGGAGCTCTGCCAAAACATTGCGGTCCCGTGGGGAAGCTTTCCTCTCACTGAAAGAGCCCTTGCGCCTGCCAGCCCAATTAAAACAACGTGAAAGGAAAGCAGCATCTGGAATTGCGCTGCCTCTCACAGCCAAGTCACAATTGTTTAGTCTGAAAGTCGTTTCAGGGAGAGCGGGGCTGGCTGGCTGCGCAGTGGCCCCCACATCTGGATCTGCGGCTAGACGGCCTCTTTGGCTGCAGGCCTGTGTGCATGTGCATTTTTAACTTTAGGATATGCTGACAAGTTAAGAAGTCAGAAAGTCAGTCACAGTTACAGCCTCGGCGGCCCCTTCCTCCCTCCTCCCCTTTCTAACACACACACGCAGTTGACTAAATACAATTTTCTGACATCCTTTCATCTGGAGAGAGTTTCTTCCCCTTCCAGCCTGCAGCTCTGGTCCCTCATGAGTTATTTGAGCTGAGCCAACACATGTGAACAAAAGTCGTCTTTTTGAGTTTGCACTTAGGGCCCTGTCCGTGCTACCCACGTTCCACCTACGGAGGGGCTCCTTCGTGCCTACTGCTGTCCAGGTTTCCCTCGAGAGGATGGGCAGGGAGCCTCCGTCTGAGTCACCGGAGAGCCACATCAGAGAGGACCCAGGGGTATTGCTCAGCCCATGGTGTGACTAATAAAGCCCTCCGAGGAGCCAAGCTGGCATGGACCACGATTTGATACGACTGCAGCCAGGCATCACAACCACAGACTCCCACAAAACACCACGGGCAGCCCCACAAGAAAGGGCAGCCCATGGTGCCTTGTGAACACAGTTGTCTAGCCACGGAGCCCAGCTCAGGAAGCCTGAAGCTACAGGACCTACATCTCTACCTGGGATCTCTTGAGCCTATACTAAAAGCCAAGTCACAATTGTTTAGTTATTTGAGCCCAGTTTTCTCTCCTGCCCAGGGCAGGGGGTCGGACTAGAAGATCTGCAAGGTCCCGTCCGACCCTACGTCTATGAACCTATGAATCTATGAATAACAACCTTTCATAAAATCATGGTTCCCCTGCAAGGTGGGTTCGGGTGTTATGTTTTGTGTTATGTCAGGGTTGATGGTAGTCTTACAAAAAATTTAGATTATGGATTATATAGGCTGGTTTGGATTGGGATGATCCTGCCTCAGGCAGGGGGTTGGACTAGATGACTTCTGAAGGTCCCTTCCAGTCCTTCTCCTCCATGATTTCTATGATATTTCTATGATATCTCCTGAAAGTCAAAAACACCAGCGTTTCCAGCCTGAAATTTTCAGCTTTCAACCAATCTTTTTTTTTTCTTTCCTCCAGGTTTCTCACAGAAAGCCTCAGGTTTCAACTGACCTTGTTTGGTTTTCAGTATTTCGTCAAAAATTCCAGATTTTCCACAGGGGGAGAAAGCAAAGGAAGGAAACCATCTTCTAACCCAGTTGAAGAGGCATGCACCAAACACAACCATCTAATTGCAGTCATGCTACTAGGTTAGTCATCAATGAATACTCTCATGTTTATTTTCGTAGCGTTCAAAAATATACCCCGGCTTTTATCCGTTGGGATCATCTCACCCTCCCCAAACTCAGGACGTGCCCACAGCAGGTGGCATTTCATGCATGATGAGCCCAGAAAGCACTAGCATCACCAGAGGTGGAACAGCAAGGTCGGTATGAATGTGGCTGCACTTGGAAAGATTTGGTGAGCCGTGTTCACTGAATCCGTGGCAGATCAGCTCGACGCTTCCCATGGTAGGATCAATGGTGTAGTGAGAGGCCTAGGAGAAAGCCCTTTTCAGGACTGAATTACTTTCCCTTGTGCTACCAAAAACATCAGCACAATCTAGCCGGCAGCTCCTTGCCTGGCATTGATGTCTCTCCTCCTCCTTGCCTAGCTGTGCTTCCGTGGTATTAATCTGCGTGTTGTTTCAAAGCAGTAAAAAGGCGATAAAATAAGGAAAAGTTTCCATTTCAAGAGATGCGGTTGCTCCGGGCTGGGGGCCCCGTCTGCCATCTGGACCCTTACTTGGCAGCGCGTTAGCCTCAGATCCCAGAATAGTTGTGCTATGATTTCTCCGCGTTTCCAGTAAGGCAACAGATTTTCAAAAGTGGTCACTGATTTCTGAGCACATCCTTGTCTTGATATTCAGATATGCTGAGCACGGAGGCCCCATTACTTCAGCAGAGTCAAAATCCCTAAGGCCAGCAAAGAAAACATAATGACTGCAGGATCTAGGGGCTGGCAAAACTCAGAGATTTCCCTTTGTTTGGATGCGCTTGTCTCAGCCCATTAGTTTTCACTGGTGGTTCATGTTGGAGACTCACCTGCATCCTCTTGAATTCTGGGTTTAAATGGACAATTGCACTTAGAGAGAGTCTTCCCTTCCACCTGGCCGGGCCTCCAAATGATATCAGACCTCCAAACATTGCTTGGTTTCCATCGAGTGCAGTAAATCAGCTCTCAGCTACCCTAGAAATCAGCCTCACGTCACCCAGTCCAGATTCACCCAAGTTGTGCCCCCAAACTCACCCTCCCCTCAGCTCAGATTCATTGGCACGTTCAGGAACTGAGCAGTACGTTCTGGGTTTGTAACAAAAAAGATCTGCGCAGATCTAATAAAGTGCGGGTGGTTACACAGGTGGGCTCACATAGAAGGCAGGAGTTTGTGAAGCTCCAGAAAGTTTGGACTTATTTGTTAGCCCGATTAGTTTAAAAGTTTGCCTTGTGTGTGCTTCCTTGTTTGTGTGCTGTCTGCAATTACCTGTGTTTGCTTATAGACATGTATGCATATGTATCTACCAAACAGGTTTAACAGCTCTTTCTGGGTGAGTTATGTTGTTTCGAAAGTCTCCAAAATACATGTTGTTCGCCAACCACCTCTGTATAAATAAATACCAGCATTTCTCTCCTGACCTTTACTCTCTTGCCAGGTTTCTTCTAAACGCAGGGCCTAGGAATTACCCTTTAATCTATCAAGAGACCTGAGTCACCATTCCTCTATTTTCTTTGTGAGTAACTATATCCATGGACAGTGGGAGTGATTTTCCCTCTTTACCCAGTGGCCTTGAAACCTAGAGTCCCTTAAGTTTAAGATCAGTGAGAAAAAACCTTGTGAGTCTTGTTCTGCACTGCTTTTGAACCATCGAGAGAAAGGTGGAAACAGGGCCAACCCTAGCATTCAAACACAACCTATCAGCCCCCCTACTCCCAAAACCGTGACATAGGCTTAGGAAAGATGGCGGGATGCTAATGTTGATCATTTATTAACGCAGTTGGGATTCTTTTTATTCACCTTCTGGTTTTTGAACCTTTAAGGCACCTTCAGGTCATAACTTCAGGCTTATCAGTGTAGTCAGCAGCAGTGATTCTGTCACAAGCCTCATGGTAGCCAGGGGTTTTCTTAAACCTCCAACTCCCTGGAGTCTTGTCCCTGCTTTTATCTCAAAAAAAATACACTGGTGCCCTGTGGAGTTGTAGAAACAAAGTTTAAGAACAGGATCCCTAAAGCTCCCAGAGGCAAACAGCAAATTGCAGCTCTACCATTTTTAATAAAATCTCGTGATTTTTAAGCTGTTCTCATGACTTGGGAACTTGTCTCCCATGATGCTCTGCTGCCTCCTTTCTTCAGGAACTGTTGCCTGCAAGAGGATATGTAGCCTACCCAAGGAGCTTAGCCAGTGGGTGGGGGGAGCAGGAAGGACCCAACCACAGCCCCCTTGGAGGCACTTTGCTAGGACTGCAGGAGAAAAATATTGCATGTTTTGCCAAAATTTGTTGCCCCAAATTTACAAATTTCCACTGGGAAAAACCCCCTTCATTTTCTGACCAGCTCTAATGCAGATTGTATGTATCAGCCCTCATGGTACCCCATCATCCCATCTGTAAAGTGAGGGGACTAAAAATGCAAGGCCTTATTCGTCTACAGTTCTTAAGAAATCTGGAGAGCCCGGGTCTAGAAGAGCTATACAAGAGCAAAGTCATTATGCCTGTAGTGATAAAGTAAAAACCTTAAAGAGACCAGGCCTGATTCTGATTCCACCTGTGCTGAGTTTACATCACAAGTCACTAGAAGCAAGACTAGAATTGGGTCCAGCGTCCTTTGGCCACACAACGGGAAGCCCTGAGGATGCAGGATGGTGGAGCCTTTTTTTTCTGTCTAGCTCTGAGCTCTCACCCATCCTCAAGCACCTCAGTTCGTTCTCCCTGTTGGAAGGCATTGGGTTATTGATGATAACTTCCTGGCTGATGGCTGGGGAAACTGGTTTGCTCACCAATGCAGGGGTCACACTGACAACATGCCAGTCTCCACCTGGTTTTGTGATATGCTGGAGAGAACTGTATATCAGAAACAACACGTGATACGGCAAAGCTGCGGTCCCCTACACACAAAGGAACAAATTCCCAATTCCCTTGTTGTACGCTGCAGTATAAGCGCATGCACATCAGGTCAGCTTCTCAATGAACAGGGACAAAAAGGGGGAATGATTATAGCAAGAGAGTCTAGATGTGTATTATCTCGCCTTGTTCTTAGATTGATTTCATAAATTTCATAGACATTAGGGCTGGAAGGGACCTCAGGAGATCATCGAGTCCAGCAGAGGTCAAAGGATCCCAGCAAGATAAGCATCCAAATGTCTCTTAAAGGAGTCCAGAGTAGGTGCTCTGGGGCAAAGATGCTCTTTGGGGCAGGGATCCTCTTCTCACTGTATGTTTGTACAGCACTGAGCACAGTGAGATCCCGGTTCATAAGCAGGGCTCTGAGGTTGTTTCACAATATCAGGAATGGCATGATCAATCACGGATCAATAATGATGTGATCAATCATGAATCAACCCATCAATCAGTGATGATTTTGCCTGTGTCTGAATCTGCTCTTAATTACGCCTGTATGAACTTGGAATCATCCAGTTCACGTCAGTGATGTTACCCTTCATTGTCATCCTGGGAATTAATGGAAAATACCCCATCAGGAGAGTTAGTCACTTTGGATTTATGCTGCTGTAAGCAAGAACAGAGTCTGGCTCCTTCTCAAGCTGGCTTCCCCTGTCTAATCCTCACCTTGCCTGGGTTAAATCAGACACATCTCAGCTTTTTTACCTGCTGCAGTACATTGCCTCTGAATGCACCTTCATTATGTGTCACATTTTCCTTAGCCAGTTGCCCCACGTCCTTCCTGCTGCCAGGACGCTGTGATCTCCCGCCGGCTCTCATGCCCCATTCGTCAAGCGTGGGACCATTCACCTGGCTCCAGATGGGGAGGAGCCAGCAGGGAGGTTTCAGGTATTGAAAAGTCTATTCAGACCTAACTGCAAAAGTATTTCACCCCAGGGCCCATAGGTAAGAGCCAGGAACATGTCTGTGGACAGGAAAGGCTGGATGTTTATATGTAAACAGTGAGAGTGAAAGCAGCTTCCGTCTGCTTGAAAGGAAGGGGGGAAGGGAGCTGGAAGCCACAAGTTTTCTTTCTTTCCTTTCTCTGCCCGCCTCCCGCACATGCCCTCCTCAGAGGTGTCTTGTCAGGCCCAGAAGAGGCCCCGACCCAGAAAACCCTCTCCTTAAAACAAATCTGAACTCACCCAGGGCTGGGCCGCATGAGAGCTGGCTCTAAGCTGGTTGACAACAAACTGGGGCTTTGCCTTTGGTTTAATCGCTGCAAAGCAAGAAGCGTTGTCTAAACATAAAGTGACACTACTCTAAGTAAAGGTGGGGGTTTGAAAACACTGTAAATTAGTGCAGTCCCTTGTAAGGACACTCATAAATCACTCTAAACCTGGCTGTTCCCATTTGAGTTGTCTCCTTCTTACTGATTTAAGCTCGACTGCTATTAAAGCAGGCTTGTTAAAGGCCGGGTGATCTAATGGACTGAGCAGTGGATTAGGATGCAGAAAAATTGGGTTCATTGCCTGGCTGGGCTAGTGGTTCACTGGGTGACTGCAATCAGTTCACATCACCCCCTCGGGCCTCAGTTTCCCCGTCTGCAAAATGCAAGTGATGACGACAAGAGAAGACACAAAGTGCTTTGACGTCTACAGATGAAACCCGCACTTGGAAACTAGGTGGTATCATCCTTCTTACTGATGGTGCCGCTGTGATTTCAGTGACCCGACAGGGATTTGCACCTGATTTAATCAAAACTGGTTTTAAAAGCCAGTTTTAGTTAACCCAGCACATATGCCAGGGCATAGGTTGCATGTTTGCCAGTAGATGCTAAAAATAAACTAGGAAACTTCAAAGCCAGTTGCTGAGCTGCAAACTTGCCTTGGACTAGCGGAAGTGGAAAGGTAACAAGAGTCGGGAGCCAAAAAAGCAGGCATGCCGTGAGTAAAAGTAACAGACCCAAAGTTTTTATCCATCCCCCACCTCCACACCCAGTTTCTGGGTTTATTTTATATTTTCCCTCGTAAAGAATTGTGCCCATGTTGCTCTGCTATCAAAGCCGGTGGCGGCCCCTAGAATAAACATGCGGTCAGGAGACAGAAAACTCCAGGCTAAAACACCATTCGTTTCACCCATCACAGCATAAACTGAGAGGCTTTTAAGAAGGGCGAATGGTTTTCAGTAAATCTCTCATATCAGCAGAAACCTTTGAAAGAGTTTGTTTAAAGGCCGTGGAGATAAACAGCCCAGCCAAGTGTTTGTTTAAGATGTATGTACTCTGTGTCGACTGGTAGGCTGGTATTTATATCAAGGGAGGGTGGAAGGGAGAACGAGGATCCTTTTGACCCTTTGCTAGCTCTGACTGCATGAACTGGGTGTTGAAGAGCTGGAGGGACACCAGCCTTCTGGCATGTTGCCACCGGCATGTCTCGTCTGGGTGTCGCGAAGGGACCCCTGGATGCTGCTCCGGGTGAAACAAAACAGCAGGAGCAGTTTCGGAGGGTTTTCAGGCAATCATTAATTCTCTTTATCTTACAGGAATGCAAACAGGTCCCAGCTGAGATCAGGACTGCGCTGTGCTAGGCGCTGTACAAACACAGCCCTAGGGAGAGACCCCATTTCCTTGAAAAGCTTGCCATCTAAATAGCAAGGTAGATAAAAGACGGGGTGAGAGGAAGCATCTTTAACCCCAGGTAACAGCAGGAAACTGAGGCACAGACTTGAATTAAGCCATCTGTGGCGTCTGTGATCGAGCCCACCTTCCTGCAGCCTGTTTGAGTGCCTTTTCCACAAGACTGCCCTCATCCACTGGGCAGCACCATGGCTAATGATGACGAGCAGTGCAGGGTTAATGTAACTGGGGGGTCGGGAAGTAGCTGCTGGACGATGCTAGACTTAGCATAAGAGAAAGGTAGTCAGCAGCCATGGCATGAACAGGCGGCCTAACAGATGGAAGACAAGCTGAGAAAACTTGGTAGAAGACCAGAACGTTATTATAATTGTGTGTGTTATGGGAGCAAGTAGGAGCTCCATTGTGCTTGGAGCTGTACAAATACGGGACACAAAGATTTCCTCTAAGAAGAGGGATGAGAACGGACGTAACGAATGAACAAAGTTTCCATCATCCCAACCAAAGTACCAAAACCACTGACTGAGGAGTACAAACAGGTCACGAAACAGTAGGTGCCAGCTGGGGAAAATTCGGAAGTACTTTTTCTTTTTTTTCCTTTTTGAAATTCACAGAAAAATAGATCTTTACAAAAAAAAATTCTTGTTTTTAATTAAACAGGCTAAAAAAAATTGAAGTGGGCTGGATTGTTGTGTTTTGGGTGGGAAACTAATGGTGGTGGGGTGGGGATGTTTGTTTCCATAAAAAGGTCATTATTTTTCTTACCTGAAATAATTTTGACCATGTAAGCACAGCAAAGCTGCTGAAGAGGAAAGTATTTGCGAGTCAAGAGTCAGGCAGGTTCAGAGTTGTCTTTGAGCCATAAGAAGTGGCAAAGGTTTTCCCTCTTATTTGCAGTTTCCCTTCAGTTCCTGCTAAATTTAGCTCTGGGAAGCCAGTTTCCTATTCTTTCTCTCTCTCGTGCACATGCATGCGCATGCACATGCGCACCATGGTGGAGCAAGCTGCTGGTCACAGCCCATTTAGCACCTGATCCTGGAAGTTACTGGGACTGAGTCTGCACTGCCGGGGCATGAAGGAGAGGCTTGAGGAGGTCAAAGTGCCCCAGTCTGACAGGCTGGGAAAGCACATCAGTGAAGACAAAAGGATTTTAGACTTTTCTGGAGACACACCTGTTCCATCACCCTCCCTTCCCTTCAGACATGCCCCTGTAAATCATCTGGATGACTTTGGGTTTTTTTAAACAAATAGCAGATGCCTACCAATCTGTCTGCCATCTCTGCTTTCAGAGGAAATGCTGAACTGAGGATACAGACCAAAAAAAAAAAATCATTGACAGTAAGTTAAAAGGGAACAGGGATTTCCTTTGCCACAGAGTTGGGTTTACCTCTCAGTGAAAGAGAGCTAAGTCACTTCAACTTTCTCACGCGGAGGGTAGTACCACACTGAAACAGGTTACCCAGAAAGGTGGTGGGATCTCCATCCTTGGAGGGTAAGACCTTGCTAGACAAAGCCTTGGCTGGGATGATCCAGTTGGGTCTGGTCCTGCTTGGAGAAAGGGGTTGGACTAGATGTGACCTCCTGGGGTCCTTTCAACTCTCATTTTCTATGATTCTATGATTTAACTTTCACTCACTACAGAGTGGGCACATGGACACTTAACTGACTATAATTTGTCTATAACATTAATTTAACCTGAATGGAGTTGACAGGTTTTACCCTGGTATACCTAGGAGCAGACTCCCACCTGCTTGCTGTAGTTGAGAAGCCATGTGGGATCTCTAAGCCTGTGTTAGGCTTGTTAGCAGTTGTAATATCTTGTCTTGCTTTTCATTGTGAAGGGTCCCTGAAGCACTTATATAGCCACACTTCTAGGATGGGACACAGCATCCCTTTAGCAGCACACAGCAACATTACACATCATTTTAGGATATAAAGTGAAGGAAAACGCTACGCAGAACTGAGTGGAAAGGTGGAAGTTTAACGTGGAGGGCACCATGCTCCGCTAGCGTAAATCATTGGAGCCACTCCAATTTACCATGGCTGATTTGGTCCAAAGAATGACCCAAACTGGAACCTAGCCAGGACAACAGGGTTAATACCCTGACTCCTGCAAAACCTGCCATGAGATGTCCAATGGCTGAACAGATAAGGTATCCCTTGGTTTTTAGTCTTGTGAGGAAGACAGTCTTCACCAGCCTGGTGACACCAGGGGCACTAGTGCAGATTGATGCTGCTACCCAGGGCTGGACGCAGGCATGGGCAAACTGGGCAGTCATCCGGGGCCTGGACAGAAAAGGGGCCATAAATTTGTTTTTTTTTCCTTTGTCCAATTATTATCGTCATTGTCGCTGGTGAACGGGGACCTGATACTAAAAGTTCTCCCTGGGCTGCCAGGAGTCTAGGTACGGTGCTGCCGCTATCCTGGTACGCAGCTTACCATTCCTGTATAACTCCGATTAGAATTATTGAGTTATTCGTGTGGCATCCTGGAAACAAAGTCATCCTGGGGAGAGCAGGCTTGGAAGACCTAAAATCTACTGACTGAAGAGAGGCCCAAACACTTTGCATGGGAATCCAAAATCCACACTGTGCTTCCACCTGCTGCTTTACAACCATGAAATGTATTCAGCTAATTTCTCCCTCTACGCTAAACTTTATTGTTATTTATTATATACCAATACACAGCAGTAATATCTAGAGGGATCCCACTGTCACGGGTTTTATACAGACGCATAGTGAATGACAGTTCCTAGTGCTAGCCCAGCAATAACTGCAGAGCACAGAGAAAAAGGTGGGAAAGGCCCAAAGCGCTGGAAGGCGCAGAATCCTAGGATCTCCCCTTTGGATCTCAGCACCGTGGCAGCAGGTAGTAAAGAAGAACAGAGAGGTCCTGCCAAAGGGGCAAGGAAGAGCATGGGGGATAGAGAGACGTAGAAAAGCTGTGCTGCACGCTCACTGGCAGTGTGCCCGGTGGCTGCATCTATGGGAGACAACTTTGAAACTAAAAGCAGCGCAGCAGAAATGAAGCAATCAAGCCTCTCTTTGCAAAATAATTCTGTGACCCTCCCCCGACTTACCATTGTCCACAGGCAACTCGCAATCTTTAATGTATTTATTAGAGTCTGGGCAGGTGCCAAGTTTTCCATTTCACGGGAAATTCCACGATTTCCAAAATGTCTTCATTGTACCGTAGCATGAGAAAAAA